GTAAACGCGCATATGTGGCTGACATGCCATTCCCATAGTCAAGTCGCTCATGCTCGAGCCAAGGACACGGTCCCCATCCTGGATGTGTCAGAGCAAAGGACGAAAGAGCAGGAAGGGGATTGGCATTCGAGACCTTGGTGCGCTCATTGACAACTCACTCGTGCTTTACATATAGTAGGCCAAAGACAGAGAGAGGCATATCATAGCAGCACTTCAAACCCCTCCACTTCCCGCTCCTTCGTCCTTCGCTCTGACCCATCCACACCCACTTTTGCTTGTTGTTTACAGTCCCCACCTCAGCCATGGACATCTCATATTCTACGCATGCAAACCACAATTAGCCCACCAGGGGCTGCCAGCCGGTTCGGCCTATAGTAAACCAGACCTGCTTGAGCACCAGCGCAAGCCCTCTGCTGACGCCACAACATGCTATCATGGTAGCCTAATTTCCTTCACTTCGATGCATTCCTTCGACCCCGCGACCTTGAACCCCACAATTATTCACCGTACATTTTCGGTCACATCCACTCCGGAATCCAAGGGAGTTGTTCCTTCAGGCTGTGTAGAGTAAATCCTGCTTAGGCTAAGCAGATACCTAGACCCCTTCCCTACTGGCGAAGTAGCCAGTGCTTCCCTTTTTTTTTTTTTTTTTTTAACCCGTCGGAACTGCTAGTGATGTTGCAGCTACTGGCTCCATTCTATTGGTGGGGAGCTGCACCTGCTGGAAACCGGGTCCAGCGTCGAGTTAGGCAGGTACTACGGGTCCTCTGACTTCTAGTAAAAAAAACATTCAACTGGATCTTGCCGGTAGGCAGCAGGTGACCGATAATAAGAAAACAAATGGCCCGTGGTGGCTCTCCTAATGCAGCTGCAGGTAGGATCGCCTGAACCTGGGGTACTGAATCTACTGATGGCAGCAACAACATTAAACCACCAGTACATGGCCCAGTCAGTCTTGAGATGAACCGGACAAAATGACTGGCTGTGCCAGCCAGACTAACCGAAAAGCCCAGCACTGCATTTCAGCAATCCTTGGCGTGCAGCTGGAATCCACCTCGGCAAAAAAGAGGCTCGTATGTACATGTGGTTCAAACTAGTGCACGGGTCCAGCCTTGCAGGAAAAAGAACTAGTCGCCCACTCCAACAACTTTGGGGCTAGGGAAGGCCCACTAATGCAACAAGGGAGGAAGCCCGTGGGCCCAAGGAAAAGGGGCAAACGGACTAACATGCCCTGCTGGTTTGTGCCATGCACATGTTTCCACATGCGAGGACAAGAGGATAGAGAGCGCCCCACCTTGCTGGCAGGACTCAACCGAAAGGGAAAAAAAAAAAAAAAGAAAAGTTTCAGGCCATTCTCACGCTAGCACTTTCTAGAAGGCACCTGGCCACTATGTTGCACGCCCGGCCGCGGCCTCGGCCGATGGCCGAATCGGCTCGGTTCGGCCAAGGCCGACCAGCCGAGTTTTGTGCAGGATTTTTTTTTTTTTTTAACGCATGAAAAAAAACAAATGGGCGTGTAGGGCTAAAAAAAACTTACACACCCATATTTTTTGGGGGGGCATTATTGTTTTCAATTGCGTAACAAAAAATAAAAACAGAAAAAATAAAAACAGAAAAAACAAAAAACAAAAAAAAACTTTTTGAAACCCCGTGCAGGTATGTGTGTGTGTGTGTGTGTGTGTGTGTGTGTGTGTGTGTGTGTGAGATTGGGTGGGGGTTGGGGGGTGACCCATCCCCCACCAATCAATCAATCAATCAATCAATCAATCAATCAAAAGAGAAAAAAAAGTAAAAACAAAAACGGGAAAACCCGCTTTTCTTGTTTTTTGTTTTCACTTTTTTTTTTTCTTTGGATTGATTGATTGATTGATTGATTGATTGATTGGTTGATTGGTTGATTGGTGGGGGATGGGTCGCCGCCCCAACCCCCACTCAATCACACACACACACACACGCATACACACACTCACACACACCCTCACTTACTCGCACCGAAGTTGCGCGGGGTCCCGCCCGCGCAACTTCGGCGAGAAAGTGTGTGTGTGCATGTGTGTGTGTGTGTGGGAGGTGCGCGCGCGCGCACGAGAGAGAGAGAGAGAGAGAGAGAGAGAGAGAGAGAGAGAAAGAGATGTGCACGCGCCGTGGAGCGGAGGGAATTTTTTTTTGTTTTCTATTTATTTATTTATTTTTGGTAGTCCACAAAATCCACCCCCCCATTTTCGAAATTTTTTTTTTTTTTTTTTTTTGAGGAGGTAGGCCCCCCCCCCCCCCGACTCGAGACCCGTTCCCCGCCCCCCAACCCCCTAGGCCGCCGGCCGTGGCCTGGGCCGAACCAGGCCGCGGCCACCGTGCAACATAGCCTGGCCACACCTATGGCCATGCTGGATGAATCTCTTTCTGACGTGACTACCCCTGAGAGGCCGGGAGCAATCAATGTCCTTCCAGCCCCTTCCATTTCGCAGCCTTCTCACACTAGCACTTCCCAGAACGTATCTGGCCACAGTTACAGCTCCCCCTGGCCCACAGGGCTGGCAGAGGCTGGCAGAAAAGAAATCCGACATCGGCGAATCAAATTCTTAGACTCCACAGAACGAAAAGTTATGGCCACGCAGAGTATCAGAGGATGACTCTACATTGCCACTCTCCCTGGTGCTTACGTGTTTGACACCTTCTTCGGGAAATTCTGCCGAACGGGAAGGACGGGCCTTGCAAAGTCTTCCGTTGCCAGCGGAGTCCGGCTTCCCCGTGCACAAATGGGGACAACCGCAACAGCACGGACATGAGGTACCAGTGCAACATAGGAACAGCACTGCTGGTATTCAGGGCAGCAGGGAAGAAATGTCCCGCCACGCCTCCCTTTCAGAAAACCCTGCCATGCGGGGAAACGGAACACCACAGTAGGCTACGAACCCCAATGGCAGGATTTTTTGAAAGGGAGCCTTTCTACGCCGCACACACAACCTGCCGTTGTACCCCTGCCGTTACCCGTTCCATGAGCAGCACAGACCTTCCCGTTCGCACACGCACCATCCCACTCGCACGGACAAGCGCCCAGGGGATTGGTTTATACAGGCTGGGCTATTGGATGAACTAGTGAACTACCGGTAGTGGTTAACGAGAGAACGTCTCCATATGGTACATCATATATCCTACCGAGTGAAACTCCCATGTCCCAAAAAGAAGAGGGAAAAAAGAAAACGTGATTTTATGTACGACTTTCTCTTGTTGTCCATCCCGAGTGAAACTCCCATGTCCCAAAAAGAAGAGGGAAAAAAGAAAACGTGATTTTATGTACGACTTTCTCTTGTTGTCCATTCTTCCCCTGATTTTACTGTTCTCTGTATGCCCAACCGAGCACCCTCAAGCAGTGCCAAACAGTTGATCATTACTCACTCAGAGTGCCTACAGCACTCCTAGGGGGGCTGCTCAGTTCGGGATGTCTGTCCAAACAGTTGATCATTACTCGCTCTGAGTGCCTACAGCACTCTTAGGGGGGATGCTTCGTTCGGGATGTCTATCTGCCCTGCGGGTGATGATGGATGTTCGTCCAAGTGACTTCCGGGCTCAGTGGGTGGTGGGAACCAACAGTCTGTGGGGTTCATCCGTGATGTGAGTAGGTCATGTTGCTTTGCTCCACATCGGATGTATGGACTGTTGCATCTGCGCTCTGCCACTGCCTTGCTGCCCATCCCACTTGTTCGCAGGTCCTACTTCGCAAGCTGCTCTTTTTACTGTGTGGTGTGGCCATGTTGTTTGTTTTGCCTTATGCTTTTTGCTGCTCCACTGGCTTGCTGCCCATCCGCCGGCCGTGCCTTACATGTCTTTTTACAGTTTGGTTGCCTTGTTGGTGCTGCCTTGTGCTTCAAGGCATGGTTGTCATACTGCTTATAAGCTTGCCCTGCCGTCCCTTGCAGTGCAGTGGCCTTGTTGGTGTCGCCTTGCACTTCACTAACGATTGCCGCGCTGCGCATCCGCTTGCCATGGCATTTAGTCTTTATCTTAAGCAGCCATGTTGCCTCTACAGACCTGGTGCTTTGTTGGGTTGCTGCCCGCTACCGTGTTCTGTTTTGGGACAGTCTTCCTTCAAAGTGTTCATGACCCAAACCATCCAATACTTAGACTCTCCACATTGCCAAGGGTTCAGCCTCCTGATGAGTGAGTCAGTGCACGGCGAAACAATCTTTCATCATCAGTTCTATTTTTTTCAGTCTTTTTATTTCTTTGGGACTTGCTTTTTTTTTGGGTTTGCTGGTTGGTGTCTTTCCCCTGCCTTGTGTGCCTGTGTTGTCTGCCCTCCTGCCTCCCCTATGCACTCCAGCCTATATGTGCTGCCTCACTGTTTGTCCATCCTCTCGTGCTCCTCAAGTCCATGTGCCACGTTGTGGTTTGTCATCCTGTGGTGCTGGTTCCGTGCCCATTGCCTCCCTCCCATCCCCTGTGCTTCTTTGTAATGTGTTTTATTGATTTGAAAATGGCGTCTGAAGCATTGACGCTACTCCCATGGGGCGAATGACGAGTACACCTTCAAGAAGAAGCAACAGCAGCCCAGTAGAACCGAAGCAACACTCACCCTGGTGATGACCACACCCAAACAGCCATGCCAGCACACTATGAACAAAAAACAGATCAAGCACGATACACCACAGAAGTGGGCACCTACATATCAAGATACACCATCACACCTGTCAGCAACCTCAATCAGGACATGATGACCACACCCAAACAGCCATGTTCATAAACACAATACCGCATGTAATACCGCATGTAAGAAGCGGCAAGAGTTTTTTCCCGCTGAAACACACCCATCATTCCATTGGACTACACAGATACACTTGACCATTTTTCGCAATTATACCGCACACACCTGGCACGCGATGGGCATTCTCGTCAAAGTTCAAAGTCTACTCCATTTTTTTCAAATGCTACTCTAATTTGGTTGCTCAAGCTTTTTTTATACATCTACGAGTCACACCTCGAAAGAGTAAAGACAACGCTTCTCTAAGATAATGCACTTGAACCGACATCCAGTGTCACCCACCAGATGGGGTAATCAAAATCCAAAAGTCACAAAATGCAATCGCCGCATCTGTCTGCTCACTAACAGCTTCCTCTCCCGCAACGCTCATTGACGGAAGAACAATTGAGTTCATTGTTTCACCAAACGGGGTAGTCGAAATCCAAATTACGAAATGCAATCGCCGCATCTATCTGTCTGTTCACTAACAGCTTCCTCTCCCACAACGCTCATTGCCGAAAAAAAGCAATTGAGTTAATTGTTTCACCAAATGGGGTAATTAAAATCCAAATTATGAAATGCAATCGCCACATCTATCCGTCTGTTCACTAACAGCTTCCTCTCCCACAACGCTCATTGCCGGAAAAAAAACAATTGAGTTCATTGTTTGAGAGAGCTCCATCCGAGCCGAAGGGCAACGCGCACAAGCAGGTCATACAAGCACTCCCTTAGAACTTGAGCTCAAAAGGCACATGTAGATAAACAAAATAAGTTTAAATAACATATTAACTTATTAAGTATAACATATTAACTTGTTAAGTAGAAAATGATCTAGTCTACAAAAAAAAAAAAAAAAAAAAAAAAAAAAAAAGCAATTGCTAAGCATGACTGCGTCTGCATAAGATGGGTGTCATCGTCAAACAAAGAATAATGTGACATTGCCGACCCCTCTCACCGACATGACAATACTGGCATGCCAATCGGCAGCCACCACAGCTTCCTCTCCCGCAACGCTCATTGACAGAAAAAAACAATTTGAGTTCAGTGTTTGAGAGAGCTCCATCCGAGCCAAAGGGCAACACGCACACGCGGGTCATACAAGCACTCCCTTGGAACTTGAGCTCAAAAGGCACATGTAGATAAACAAAATAACATCTTCAGTAGAAAAAGATGATATAGTCTACAAAGAAGGAAAACAAAGAATTGCTAAGCATCACTGCATCTGCATCAGATGGGTGTCATCGCCAAACGAAGAATAATGTGAAATTGCCGACCCCTCTCACTGACATGACAATACTGGCATGCCAATTGGCAACCACCACAGGCAATACTGCCCTTCTCGCTTCCCTCTGACATGACATCGTCGACAGAAAGACTACCAGCCCAAGGCCATACGACCAAGAGGCAACAAATGGCAAACCGCTCTCGTGTACTCCAAGCAAAATAGATCCTTTTCCCCTCCGGCTTTCTACAGCAAGGTGACCTGTCAAGCTTTGCTGGCCAAATAAGCCACAACGCCAATCTTCACGCATCACAAGTATCCATCAGCCCAACTGCACTATCAGCCAAGCCAGTGAGTGCACCAATCCAACTATCTCACCGTCTCTAGTCCTCAAATTCACTAGCTACACCAAACCCCACTCAAGGAGTCTCTCTACACAATAAACCCATCCTTACACATTGACCCAACTGGCAATCACAAAGTAAACCACCTTACAAAAACCACTTGGTTTTAATAGTTCTCAGTACACACAAGGCCAAGCACAGATTGAACACACACACACACACGCACAAAGCACACACCACACCCTAATTCATCCTCCAGCGATGTATTCCACCAATGAACTGGCCTGGGCATGTGTGTGTGTGTGCGAGAGAGAGAGAGAGAGAGAGAGAGAGAGAGAGAGAGAGAGAGAGAGAGAGAGAGAGAGAGAAGCAAGTGGCACAAAGAGCTGATCTACAACTGAAGTTCAAAGTCTACAACAACAAACTGGTACAGTTCACTAACATGACTTACCTAGCTTCTGAGGGGACAATTTGAGCTCTGCTCTGCGCAGGAAAAACGAGCCAAGAGCAAAGATGAGAGCACCCAGGATTGCTAGCTTCTACCAGCATCACTGATTGAATGCAACTTCCGGCTTACATAAGATCGCATCCCATTTTCCCTCAATCTCTGCTCTGCAACCCAACAGCCCCTCAGTGTCACACACCAGCACACGTCAACTAAAGGGTAAGCTGTGACGGATTCTCAACGATGCCTGCAAATGTTTGGAGGAACGCCGCCAAATCGGCACCATTGATTATCCGGTGATCGGCTGTCACATTGACCTGTCGGAAAAAAAGAACAGAGACGGAGACATGAAGACCAGAAAACACACATAAGAACACCTGCCTTCCCCAACAAAAACACCCCTCTCAAAACTTACAGAGCCTACAGCCCCCTTCCTTCATTTAAAAAATAATTCCTAGCAACAACCAGCTTTCCAATTACCAAATTACCCCTGTCAGACTCAAACAGGATAAGCACAAGACAGGCGCAGCACAGCACATCCAGACACTTCCAGAGCCTTCCAGACACTTCCAGACAACTGATGTAACCTCTGGAGGCTCGCCGCAGAGTTGGAAACAAGAGCTCGTGTCTTTCTCTGAATTTCAAAAGATTTGAGAACAATTCTCTCTGGAATTGTTTTTTTTATCCAGACACTTCCAGACACTTCCTGACAACTGATGTAACATGCCCAGTCAGACGATGTATGGGAGCCAAGGATCCACAAAGTGATGAAAAGGACTCGTATGGACAATTCATCAGCCAAGCATCAACAAGGGGTGTACATCCAAATACACGAGGTTACCTGTTGCTGATTCGCCCGCAAAAAAAGAAGGGAAAGGGTGCAAATGGGGGTGGGTGGAGGTTTGTTGGTCCGTGTGTGGGTTTAGGCGGCCGGGGTATTTTTTAGGCTAACCTGTGCACTGTTGTTGACACTGCCGATGGAATGCAGCTGCTGCTTTGTATGCCTTGAACATATGTTTTCTTTTCTTTTCTTTTTGCTTTTTTGTCCTGTCAGAGACCTGATCACAGTTTGCATTCCTTTCAGTTGTGGTTTGCTGGGTAGGTGGTTGTACGGATTTGAACTCACCTGTTGTGTGGGTGTCACACGTTGCATACCTGTCTCCTGCTCACCACAAGTATTCTTTCTCAGATATCAGGAGATATCCAATTCTGTGATCGTGTGGGCTCTCTCTCTCTCTCTCTCTCTCTCTCTCTCTCTCTCTCTCTCTCTCTCTCTCTCTC